AGCAGCAGTTTTCCAGGATTTCATCCACAGTCTTTTCTGGAAATGTCAGGGGTTGAACCTAGGATCTTTCACTTGCAAGGCAGATGCCCTGGCACTGAGCTACGACCCTTCGCCACGGACTACTTTGCTGATCAGACAGTGCAAATGTACATAGTGACGCATGTGGGCTGTGACAGAAATGTAAAAGCAAGCTTAGGTATCTCTTCCTACGCAGAGCTTCATTCATTACCTTTCATAGGTTTCTGTGAGATTCGGGTTCCTCTCCCCGCTTCCTCTTCCCAGGGCTCAGCAAACTGTAACTATGAAGTGAAAGAAGTCCATTGGCATGCTCTAGAAGTGTTATTACACAAACCTACGGTGCTCTGAATTGAAAGAAGGAAAGCATTCCCCCACTTTCCTTTTTCCTGGTGATGTGAAAGCAGCAGCAGACATCACACATTTGCTAATTCCACTCTCAATTATTTCTACTGCTGCACTTTAAAATGCCATGTCTAGAGGGGCTCCAATTCTGCAAATACTTACCCATGAGCAGCAGGCGCAGCATATAAATCCCATTATATGCCATAAAATGATCAGACATCAAATCTGCACTGCACATTTCCCACAAGTTAGGAATGTGACTCATCTGAGATGATGTCATTAAAATCCTTCAAAGGATTATTTTCAGCCCTTGTTTCTCAAGGAGCAGTTCCAATGACTTTAGGGAATAGCAGCTACTTCTATGAATACTACGATTGTGTCTCACAACCTTTAAGTGTTCAATAGGATACTACAAAATCATGTTCTGTTTCCAGTCCAATTTAACTGGGCAGGGGAAGGGCAGAGTAGAAAAACACAGCATAGCAAAGATGCCTCGTTATGGCATTTTAATAAATTACAGCACTATGTAGTCAGTAGCTTCATTCATAACGTAATAGGGAAGAACGGTTTAAAGCACGGACGGCTTAAAGCAGATCAGCTGGGAATCCTGATCACACAGCCCAATCCTGCAGAAAGCCAGTTTTGCCAACCCTATATTTGGCACTTTGCCAAGCACAGAACTGGCAAATCACCTTGTGCTGTGGTTCCCACATGCCATGCAAGGTACTTTGATAGGTGGGTGGGATAATCCTCTGGCATTTGTCAGGTGGTCGACAGGTGAGTTGTTCCTTGCACCTAAGGTGGCCCATGAGGGTGAGGATAGTAATCTGACCTACCTGGCTAAAAAACCTCTTAGTCAATACAGTGGTACCTAGGGTTAAGTACTTAATTCGTTCCGGAGGTCTGTACTTAACCTGAAACTGTTCTTAACCTGAAGCACTACTTTAGCTAATGGGACCTCCCGCTGCCACCGCGCCACCGGAGCACGATTTCTGTTCTCAACCTGAAGCAAAGTTCTTAACCTGAAGCACTATTGCTGCGTTAGCGGAGTCTGTAACCTGAAGCTTATGTAACCTGAAGCATATGTAACCCGAGGTACCACTGTACAAGGAATTCATGTTTGCTTTACAGGAATTCAGTAGCAACCCAATCACACACAAATTATATTGACTTTGGCTTTCACCTTTAGTATACATGTGAAGCAGAGTGGAGGAGACTCCTCATTCTGGTCATCTCCACATATACCTATCTCATGCTAGATGGTGCCTGTGATTGGCTCCTACCAGCCAACCAAAAGATGTCACTCTGTCTCTTCAGGAGCCCAGTTGGCTTCCACCCACTGGTGGCACAATGCAGGAAGGGTGAGATATCTAGTCTGGCTACTCCATTGAAAAGTCTCATGTTTCTTGCAAGATAGAATTTCTGTTGGTGGTCTTTAATTCAAGACGTCATTCACATACGCAGGTTACTACTTGAAGTGCAGTCATCAACTGATAGGACTTGCATAAATCAATTTGATGCTTGTTGACATGTTTATCAAGGAGTAAGTATTATTATTTTCAGCCAGTCTTGGACTAGAGTATGGTTGGAGGGGTCCCCTTCTGTATAAGCAAGGGCTTTTGTTAGGAACAGATTCTGTCTCTCTTCACCTCCACCAGGCTTATATTATGTAAGATGAAGTTTAAACTGACACCCTGCACAGCTACCTCATGCAGATGGTTCCCGGCTGGAATCAGAAACTTGTTGTCATTCAAAGTACGTTGCTGTGTTTGTGTCAACAGCATTGAAGGCCTCCATCAGAGGTGAATCTTCCTAGTGTGGTGACCTTGTCCTGTTTGATGTTTTGGAAAATAGCATCAAGGAAACCGTACAGAGACTAAGCTCCACAGTCTAAATAAAGTTGTTAAAAAAGTAGCAAACCGTCAATCAGTGAGGATTATCTTCACCTTCTTGATTACTCTTCCAGAAATAATATCTTACCAAATTCATCCTTAGTCAGAGAGAGAAACACATCACCCCCAGTACTTACTGAGCTTTAAGAATCCGATTCCAAAAAGTGGTTTTCAACAATTATATATACACTAGTGGCACAACTGAAACAAAGTACCACTAAGTAAATGTATGTGGAGTACCCTATAGTTTAGTGACAGGTAGCACACACTGCCAGGCCAGCAGCCGCATATTGTAACGTGGAAGCCCCATGCATACAAATATAATCAAGGAGACACTCTTAACGTATGTAAGGCTGATTGAAGTCCATAAAAGTGCTTTGGTCTAAATTAGCATGACCACATCTTCATGGTAAAATATTAATCAAATCTGGTAATTTTCATCAAATGCACCTTTTGAAACAATCTTAAAACGCCTTCGCCACTGGTGTTATTTGCACAGGAACAATGTAGCATTGTGGATATTTTCTTCAAATGCACAGATAACTTCTAGGTCAGCTTTGTCTTCACGAGGATGTGGAGCAAATGCAATAAATTATTCTTTCAGACTAATTTGGTTAATGCTGCTGTCTCCAAATCCAAGTTCTAGTACACTATCAATAACAAGTGTGACAAGGTATGATATTCTGAAGACAGAAACTGTGAGATTGAACAGTTACCTGTAGACAACTATTTCACTATAACCCATACACCATTCTAGAAAAATCGTTCTCCAGATTTTGTTTACATTTTTACCCGCTTTGAGACATCAACGTTCATTGTCATTCTAAATGTATTTATTTTTGCATGTATCTTAGGTCTTCAAAATAAAGCTAGCTGAAATCTTTCTCCTTACATTCATAGGGATGTCCACAGAACCCTTATGTGATCAGCGGTTTTGACAGGCATCAAGGTGATTTCTAGGCATGAGACTAGTGGAAGTGTGGATGAGCCCTAAGAGACAGAGGTTCCATCCTGTGCTGATCTTCGTAGGTGCTTCCATATACTTCCCCCTTCTCCCAAGTAGCCTCCTGTGCAGGTAGCTGAGCACTTTGGTGGTAGCTCTGAAGCTTCTGCTAGGCTCCGGCTCCTCTGGTGTTGGGAGACAAGGGGTGGGACATGAAGAGATGGCCTGGAACCCAGTCAGCTGGTATGGTGACCTGGAATAGGGATACAAAAATCTCTTCAGGATCACTGGTGGTGTAGAGATCTGCTGGGGAATTCTGATGTCCCTGTTCCTCCACTGAGGAGACCTCATATTCCAAGGATGGGAAGAGCTGAACAATGGCAAATTCACACACTGTAAACCTTACATCAGCTCTGTATTACCCCCATCTTGAAGAGTAGAATATTGGATGAAAGAGAGAATGCTGCTAGCTTGAGCTATCGGAAAAAGATTCCCAGCCTCAGTGCCCTTCTGGAAGGACCTAAAAAAGTGGTTTCCACCCACTTATGCAACAGCACCTGCTCTCCCTGCACACCCCTCTCCCAATCGGTTCTGGGGTTTTCCCAACCCTCCAGAGCCAACAGGGAGGTGGTGTGGGGGGGGGGGGGGAAGAAGAGAGGAAGTGGAAGCCCTGTTGTGTAGGCAGGACAACTTTCTTGGATACAACCCAATGGCTCCACTTACTCTTCTCCTCTTTAACTGCAACTAGATGTAAAGAAATGAACAGGTAAAAAGTTATGCAGCATGGAGACAACGTATGATCTGCTAATATTTATGCGTCAAGATGCACCTGTAAAAACAACAGCTACAGGGGCTGGCTTAGGCTTCCAGAAATGGCAGCTGAAAATAAGTAACAGGAAAGCAGAGGCAGGTAACAGAAGTTCAGGCTGGAATCAAGACTGAAATTCAGGCAGCTTTGCATCACTTGAGTCTCTGACTACTCTTTCCCTTTATATTATAAGCGAAAGTTAGTAATTAGCCGTTAGACAATCCAGTCTTCCTCCTACTCTTTGTGACTCATGGTAGGGAGGGTGCACGCCGGTGGAAATGGTTTTCCACTTTAAACAAATGAAGACTCAAAATGTTTTCCTTTGAACTTTCCTTTTATGTATGCTTATGCAGTGGTGCAGATTTTGTATTCAGTACAGAACTTGGGCAGCTTTCTGCCCACCACTCTACATTTTTTTTAAAAAATAGGTTAAGCAGTTACACATAGAATTGTAAAGTCAATATCATGCTACTGACAAAACTTCATAGGGTACACTTTTTGTCCTAAGCGGGCAGACCACAGAGTCTACTTGCACAAAATGAGTAGGTAGGAACAGAGCATTTCTTATGCCAAATGTTAAAAGGTTAGAACTTCATTCTGAATTCAGATGCAAGTAGCTTGACTCTAACAAAATGCATCTCGTTTTTCTACATATACGCATCTTAGCTTAATGTTTCAAATCCATATCCATATTCACACACGAGTCAGTTTCACAAGACCAGTTGATGTGAAATATTAAGATTTACAAGTAGATGCTGTTATCTTAAACTGGCTTAAACTGAAGCACTTAAATTTAAGTTTGGAAATCAGGCTGAGAGCTACCAGAAGTATATTCAGCACACATTTTACAATAAAGAAGTGCTTTGCAATACAGGATCAGTGGTATATACAAAGCATGAGGTAAAAGAATGACACTTGTACTAACTTTTATAATTCCTGATTTTATTTTTTAACCTACCAGAATATAGATTTCCAGAACTGTAAGTATTTTCAGAAATCTCTTTTGAAGGTGTCATTAACTTTCAAAACTTAATGAAAGTCCAAACGTGCAGCTCAGCTTCTTCCTAACATTCCATGGTCTCAATTTCCCGTTTTTTTCTCTTTTAACAAGTAAAGGAAATGTTGTACCCTTAGAGAACAGTCCATAAAAACAAAACAAAATACTTTCCCTCAAGGTAACAATAAAGGCCCCCAAACTATATTTTTCAGGTGTTTTAAATACTCTGTGACAATAAAGCTGCAGTTTAGAAGATCATGTACCACTGACAAACAAAATGTTTTGAAAAGTTAAAAAGAAAATAACTACTGAAATCACTGGGGCATCAGCATAATATAAAATCCCATTCATTCAGATAGGACTTAGGTGTCCATTCCCCCCCTTTTTTTACTGAACCCATTGCCCATACAATGCAGCTGCAGGGCAGGCTTCTTCCCCAACCTGGTTTCCTCCAGATGTCGTTGGACTCTAAGTCCCATCATCCCTGACCACTGTCCATGCTACCTGGGATGATGGGAACTGGGAGGGAGTCCAACAACATCTGGAGGACACCGGGTTTAGAAGGCTGCTGCTGAGGTTTCTAGAAAGCGCTCCCCTCTCTTTCTCTCCCCTACCCCACCTTACATACAGCAGTGCTTACCTATTGTTCCTGTAGATCTAGTATTTTGAACTGGTAATAACATCTGAAAAAGAAATCAATTTGCATTGGGAATTAATTTCAATTTCACTTTCTGGAGAAAACATATCACTTTAATTGACTTACAGAGCTATGCAATCTCCCTGCTTCTGCCACCCAGGAGACCCACCAGCATATCTACAACCTGGCCTGGAGGTGCCAGACAGAAGCTGGGATCTTCTTTCTGCATGAAAGCATCTCATCTACACTGGCAGTGGTTCTCCAGGGTCTCAGACTAGAGACATTTCCAGCTGTACCTGGGCAAGCCTGGGGTTGAACCCTGGAACCTTTTGCATACAAAGCAGATGCTCTACCATTCAGTTACATCTCTCACAATGTTTGAGAAATCATGGTTTGCCCAGTGACCTGGCAAGTTCTGGGCTGAGCTGGGCTTTGAACCCAAGTCCAAGCCCAATGTCCTTCATATCCCCAGCAATTTGTTTTGTAGATTCAAACAGAAGGGAAGTTTTGTGGCATGACCTATACTTACAAGTAAGGATTCCTTCAGTCAAAAATAGGAGCTTCAACAGTTTACAACAACAACCACCACCCCAAACCTCTTCCTTGTGTAAGGAGTTCTCACAATAAATACATATTCTGTATCCCCTGTCCTGCTTTACCTTCAGTTGCTCCTGGTGGGGGAAACTCTCTTTTTCTTTTCAGTGGGTGTTGGAGAACTTTCAGTGGTCTAGATCCTGGTGAAGCTTTAATGATACAGCAGATTTCTGGAGGGTTACGTAGACACTGAAAGAAATGGAACAAAACTTAGGCCGTCCTACAAGGCATAGACTGGGCTTTGATGCAGCACTGAATTATGAACCAATAGTTTTGGGCTCCCATGCTCCCTCTCCCCTTTTCTCCTCCAGAGTGGCCACGAGGAAGAACCTGGAAGCATTTGCTTCCACTTAAGCAAAGCAGAGTTCCTTTGTTTGCATCTTAACTCAGGAAACA